GCATCAAAGTCGGCTTTAAGCTCCCGCTCTCTTTTTTCATCAACAACTCTATCAAATTGTCTGAAAAAATCAGAAATATTCATATCACATTTTAAATAGGATTTTAAATCACTATTCAAACTCTCACTCAATTGAGTGCTTCTTATTCCTAGGGTAAAGGCATACTTCATGGAACATTTGGCCCACTTCTCTTTCAGCCCATATGTACGCGATAGCCATTCATTATCATGCAAATCATAATTATCAAGTAAGTTTTTCCATTCTCTTTCAAAATCATCCTCTTCTGAGTATTCAAACATACACCTCTTAAACTCCGTTAAGAATGAAGAGTCGTCTTTCATGCGCCAACCCAAATGTTTGATCCCATTTTGATTCAAGTGCCACGTGCAAAGCCCGTGTCGTGTATTTTTCAATACTTTTGCCAAAGCATTCGCTATAGCCGCATCTTGATTTGTAAAAATGGTTTGCGGCTCTTTACCTCCATGAGCATTCAAGAATGTTTCAAAAAGCCAAGCAAAAGAATCAACAGTCTCATCATACAAAAGTGCACCACCAAAAATTACCATTTGCCTATGATGATTAAATCCCGTGAACACGCCAAAGGGCCTCAATTCTTTGTTTGTGCCATAAGTTGTGTCAAATGTAATTACGTCGCCAAAATCACCATAATCAACAATCATCCTCGAATCTGCCCAAAATATGTTGGTGACTAGCTCATCACTGTCAAATTGCATTGAATAAAAAAATGAAGAGTCTTTACGTTTTCTCTGTTCAAAGTATCGTATTATACTTCCCAACTCACCATACACCATGTTTTTTTCTCTCTTCGAGCGCAAATATGTCTTTTGATCTTCCAATATATATCCAAGTTTATCCCAACCCCCTGCTTCTCTAATCCTCAGGTGATGTGTTGCTTTTGGGTTGAGTCCGGCATCATGTGCCAAATCAATTGCAGCGGCGGCGGCATGGCTCACTTGCCTATGAGATCTTAACATATGACTCGTTTCTGGAGGCTCAAGTTCATGATTATGTTCAACAACGAATTCTTTAACCTTGTACTTTCCAATCGACCTCTCCAAAATCACATTTAACTTAGCCTTACATGATGTTCTTTCTTCCCATCAATGTACGACTCCCACCCTTCTTTTATCTTCAGCTCTTTTACCCTCCTTACGACAAACGAAAACTGCGTTATTATATACCCCATCCTTCTGGCTTTTGTTGCGATAATTTATTCTGACCCCAAATCCCATCAACTTCCCATAATTTTGCCAACAACCCCATGCTTCATCAAGAGTATTACAAATCATTCCAACTCTTGGTTCGTCATTTGATTTCCAGTCGCTACTTATAAAGTTACCGGGCATCGCATTGTCCACAATTTCCTTGTCAATATTTGAAGAATTTTCTAACACATCTTCCACACAACTAGCCGAACACATGTTTCTCCTACAAATAAGTAAGCACATTGAATTTTAGCGAAAAAAAATTAGAAAATATACAACACAAATACATATATTAGCTGTACCATCAATAAAACACAAAAACAATAAATCATAGTCAGATTTTTTTGCCCTTCACTTTAATAAACAAAAAAAAAA